GCATTCCTGTTTGGGTTCACAATCTACCTGATGTGGAGATTCGGACTGCCAACAAAGTGTACATGGTAATGTTTATATTTTTCTTAATTAATAACTGTATTGTATTGTTGTTTTTTTTTCTTTTTCTTTTTATAACTTTATCCAAAGTACATTATTACTCACATTTGTTTTAATTTGGAATTAAGAATGAAATGCAAAATTTCACTACTTTAATCGTGGATATGGTGAAAAAGGAGAAACTTTTTGCTTCTCAAGGTGGTCCCATAATTATCACTCAGGTAATCTTTTTTATTTTTATTTTCCTTTTCATCTCCTTATCAATATTTCCATTAAATTTGATTATTATTATTTTTAATTTGTTTACTAACAAATTGGTCAATAATTTTAGATCGAAAATGAATATGGTAATGTGATGTCACATTACGGAGATGCTGGAAAGGCTTACATAGATTGGTGCGCAAACATGGCCGAGGCTTTCGACGTTGGTGTTCCATGGATCATGTGCCAGCAATCCAATGCTCCTCAGCCAATGGTATGTGTTTTTATATTTTAACTTAATTATATGATTGTTATTTCATTAATATTTGAAGCTGATAATTTTACATTTTCATCTTAGATCAATACTTGCAATGGTTGGTATTGTGACAACTTTGAACCCAACAATCCCAACAGCCCTAAAATGTGGACCGAAAATTGGGTAGGCTGGTACGTATAATATTTCTAACACGTATTCAAAATTAATCAGTTTTAGCTTCATGATTGTATTGTTAAATTTTATATTTTGCTTTGTTTTTTGGGTGATTTTTAGGTTTAAGAACTGGGGTGGCAGAGATCCACACAGAACCGCTGAAGATGTTGCTTATGCAGTGGCTAGATTTTACCAAACCGGAGGCACATTCCAAAATTATTATATGGTATAAACAGTGCACATTTCTATTTATTAATCACCGTGCTTCATTGTTTCTGACCCTAGTTAATAAATCCTTACTAAGATGATAACGTATTTCTTTGTATATGTGTATGATTTTTGGTTTAGTATCATGGTGGTACTAACTTCGGTAGGACAGCCGGTGGTCCATACATTACCACTACATATGATTATGATGCTCCTCTCGATGAATATGGTATTTGAATTTATTTAAATAACTAGTTTTTTTTTTCCATTGGATACTAACCTTTCGTGGATAAACATTTTGGTATTTTATTCTTTTATCATTATTATTATTATTCTTATTATTATTATTATTAATTTGCAGGCAACATTGCCCAACCAAAATGGGGTCACCTCAAAGAACTTCATAGTGTTTTGAAGTCAATGGAGGAAACTCTTACAAATGGCAACGTCACCGAGACTGATTTTGGCAACTCCGTTAAGGTGAATGTGAATGTTAAAAACACAGTTATTTTTTAAAAAAAAAGTATAGTTCATAAGTTATAATAATTAATATACTCTTAAATATAGGCCACCATTTTTGCCTCAAATGGATCATCAAGCTGCTTCTTGAGCAACACCAACACCACCACTGATGCCACTCTAACATTTAGAGGAAAGAAATACACAGTTCCAGCATGGTCAGTTAGTCTTCTTCCTGATTGCAAGCATGAAGCGCATAACACAGCTAAGGTAACCTCCTTTGCCATAAAATCTAAAATCTTAATCATATATATGATCGTCAATTTTTGTAAATAAATTCTTATATTTTTAAAAGATTTAAATCCATAGAAAATTTGTGTTTTTCTTGCATTGATACTATATGATCAATGATTCTATTACTAATTGTTAACCTTATATTTTCTGAATCAGGTGAATGTCCAAACCTCTATAATGGTTAAAGAAAATAGCAAGGCAGAAGCTGAGCCAAAAGCTTTGAAGTGGACTTGGAGGTCAGAGAACATTGATCTTGCTCTTCATGGGAAAAGTAATGTCTCTGCAGACAGACTTATTGACCAAAAAGACAAGGCTAACGATGATAGTGACTATCTTTGGTACATGACAACGTACGTAATCACACACCAACTTAAGTCTTCATGTTTCTAATAAATTCCTTTGTTTCTCTTAATTGGTTCGGTTGATCATTTTTCTTTTATGATAACAGACTTCAAGTCAAGCAAGATGATCCAGTTTGGAGTGAAAATATGACTCTTAGGATTAAAGGCACTGGCCATGTAATTCATGCATTCGTCAACGGAGAACATATTGGTAATATTTTAGAATCATATGCTAAATCAACATTATATTCACTATAATAATTAATGTCAGTTTCAATAAAAAGACTTCCACTTGTTTTTGATGAATAGGCTCCCATTGGGCCACATATGGGATTCGCAGCGATATATTCGAGACAAAGATTAAGTTGAAGCCAGGAAAGAATACTTTAAGCTTGCTTAGTGTCACCGTTGGACTTCAGGTACTTGTCTATGATTTTGCATATATATAATAATAATTTTTGTTCCAATTTTACTGATTAATATATTTTATATATGGTTATTTTGTGGAATAGAACTATGGGCCACACTATGATACATGGCATTCTGGTCTTGTTGGGCCTATTGAGTTGGTGAGTGTAAAAGGTGACGAGACCATCCTTAAGGATTTATCCAAACACAAATGGTCGTACAAGGTAGGGTTGCATGGTTGGGACCACGAATTGTTCAGTGAGAACTCACCCTATGCTTCTCATAACAAATGGGAAACTGAGCAGTTACCCACAAACAGGTTGTTCACTTGGTACAAGGTAATTAATTAATTAATCTTCGTTTTAATATTTTCTTTGAATGATGTTGTGTGAATTGTGATGATCTTTTCTTTACAAGTTAAAAACTAATTAACGTGTGTTATAATTGGAAGACTACTTTCAAATCTCCTCTGGGGTCAGACCCTGTTGTTGTGGATTTGCAAGGAATGAGCAAAGGCTATGCTTGGGTGAATGGTCAAAACATTGGACGCATCTGGCCTAGTTACAATGCTATGGAAAATGGTTGTAGTGATGAGCCTTGTGATTATCGTGGAGAATATACCGACTCAAAATGTGTTTCCAATTGTGGGAAACCCACACAGAGATGGTTGGTTTTGCATATGTTACACGCATTTATATATCATTTTCATGGTCAATTATTGTTTATGTTATAATGACATAGTACTAATGTTTTAAATTGTTTATTAGGTACCATGTACCTCGCTCTTATCTTAAAGATGGTGCAAATACTTTGGTTTTGTTTGCTGAGTTGGGTGGAAACCCATCACTAGTGAATTTCCAAACCGTTGTTGTTGGAACTGCATGTGGAAATGCACACGAGAACAAGACTTTGGAGTTGTCTTGCCAAGGTCGTAAAATCTCTGCTATTAAGTTTGCAAGTTTTGGTGATCCAAAAGGAGTTTGTGGAGCATTCACCAAGGGCAGTTGCGAAAGCAAGAAGGATGTGTTGTCCATCGTGCAAAAAGTACGTAACATTTTCTTTGTGTTTGTATATTTTCTTGCAAGATTACTATTAAACATGATAAATGTTTGAGTTAATAACTTAATATTTCATTATGTAGGCATGCGTTGGCAAGGTTGCATGTTCAATTGATGTTTCAGAGAAGACATTTGGTGCAACGGCTTGTGGAAATATTGCTAAGAGACTTGCGGTGGAGGCAGTTTGCTAGGACTTTTGCTATTTTGCTCAGATAATAAATAGTGGTTAGGAACATAGTTAGAGTATTGTGACTGGTTTACTAGAACTAATTAATAAAATTAGCCTTTTGCATAGTTATTTCTTTTATTTTTCTCATGGATTTTTTACTTGGTGGAACATCCTCACGCAGTAACGCTCATGCATACTATTGAGATATAATTGATTAAAAAAAAAAAAGAATCTCGAGAATTTCTTGAAGGAAAATTCTTAACTAATAAATTGGAGATATATAACTTGAGTTCTTAATAATCTCTGATAGAATGGTATTTTAATCTGGATGAACCGAAAAAGCATTGTACTAGCATTTTCTTTGGAAGAGATCAACTTAACTAAAGTAACAAGAGAATATCTTAAAAGAGTAATTAAAGGATAAAATAATTTAATAAAACACTAAAAAAGGAGTTTCTCTTTATTATAACATAGAATAAGATTTTTTATTAACAATTTATTATTTTCATTGCTATATTAAAAAGTCACATTATTCAAAAACATGTAAATTTTACTAAAAAAACTCTTATAAAATTCATTTTTCAAAACAATCTTTTTTGAGATTTCTATAATTTTGAATACCAATAGAATACTTTTAAGTGAAATTTTTTTTAATTGAATACCATTAAATTCATAAAAAAATTATCATTATTATAATTATAATTGAATATCATCAGATTTTGATATATTTATAAAAAAAAGAGTCATGATTATCTTAATTGTATTAAAAAAAGTCTTCATTAAATACATCAATATTTTTATAATAAAAAATATTTTAAAATTTATTGAAATCCTAATTAAAAAGATGATTCTTTAAAAGTGTATAAAAAAGTTAACTTTTTCAATGATATTAAATATTTTAAGACAACATAAGATTTATAGACAAGATTTTTAAAATAATAAATTTTGATTCAACATTAAAATTTAAAATAGAATTATCATTCAAAATTTAATTTTAATTTTGATAGGATCTGTTGAAAAAAAGTAATAACGTAGTGACATAAATCTCATTATTATATTGCAATAAAAAAAAAACAAATCAATAATTTATTCATTATTTTTTCCAAACTAGCAAGGAAAAAAAATGTAGTTTAATGATTATAAGGTTTATCTTGAGATATGAGAGTTTGAGCTAATGTTCTTAGGTTCGATTTTATTTGTATTACAATAATATTTGGCTAATAAAATACATGTTTTGCAAATGTATATTAACTTTAGTTGTCAACTTTGAAATACTGTATGGATTATATACATGAACAAAAAAAATACAAAAGAGTATTTGATAAATTTTGTTAATCTTAAACATAAATGAGAGCAGTGATGAATCTAGAAACTTTAGATAGAGGGGGCAAAATTTATTCATATATTTGTAATATTTTTTTTACATATAACTTTTAAAAGTATATATCATAATTTATATCTAAACATATATCATAATTATTTTTTACAAGTTTTTATATATATGATTATGATTAATGATGAAAATAAACTAGGTTAAACTATGTTATATTATAATTTAATAAGTTTGAACCTAACTTTCTTTAAAAATACATGTCTTAAATATAACTTATTTATCTATCATAGAATTTTTTTAAAAGTTTGATTAGAACTACAATCTTAAAGACCTATTTTATCATATTTTAACACTAATAAAAATATAAAAATAAATATGTTAAATCTTATAAAAATCAAGTTTGATTTATTTATGATATAAACATATTTTTAATATATGATATAAATTTTTAAATGATAATTTAGTTTAAAACATATTTTATGATAAAAATTATAAATAGAACATAAATCTTCTAATCTTTTCTATTTTTATTTTTTTTAATCAACGTATACAATCTCACTATCTTTACTATTTTGATCTTTTTAATCGACATATACAATAAATTGAAAGTATAAAAGGTAAACATACATGTTGAAATTTTATTTTATCAAATTTTTTTTTAATATATCACATATTAATATATATATGTATATATATTATAATTACAAAAATTTAAAAAATAATTTATTACTAAGGAGTATTTTTTATCACATATGAGAATTAATCTTCTTCGAAAGTTTGACAAATATCAAATAAAGGAACATTTTATCCAAATTTATATTTTATAGATATGATAATTTATATATATATATATATATATTATTAGAATATAACTTTTATTTTTAAAATATATTATTTTTTTAATATAAAATATATATATATAAAAAGGTAGTGGGGGCAAGTACCCCCACTCTACTCAACCTAGATCCGTCCCTGAATGAGAGTGTGTTTTTATAGAAAACGTATTTAGAGATTTTTTTAATGTCTTAACCATTTCAATTATTTTATTTGTCATATTTATTTGTGAATTAAAATTTTAATACCTTTAAAATAAATTATCAACAATTAAAAATAATCATGTGTTATAATATAAATTATTTGTTTAAATTAAATTATAATGTACATATTTTAAAATATTTATTTATATAAATTTTAAATATAATTTATATATTTAAATATAACATTTATTTGTATGTATAATTTATTATGAAATTTAATTATATAATAAATATTTACCTTGTGCAATGTAAAATGTTAAAATACTAGTTAATAATACTTTGTTTCTATACCTAATTGACCAAAATTAAGAAAAATAGTTAATAATAATAATAAATTTATCCCATTTTTATAATTTTTTTTAAAAATTATTCTTGTACTATTTTTTTCTCCCCTAATTAATAAACTTTTATTTTAATTAGAATGCATATCCTATATTATTTATCTTTTCTTTTAATATTTTTTTTATCAATTTATAGAGTTTATAATTAATTTATTTTATCAAATTAAAAGAGTATATTTTATAAATAATAAAGAGGGAGTTAATCTATACTAATATATAAAGGAGATACTACCTTCAATAATTACTTTTAATTTTTATTTTTACATGAATTATTTTATCCTTTATTTATTTTTCAATAATGACTTTTTTATAAGTAATTTTTTATTCTTTTTATTCTTTATTTATTTTTTTCTTTTAATACAATGCAGACACATAATGTCTTTTTCCTGCTAGTAATAATTAACTGTAAAAAAAATCTTATATGACTGGCGCGTCCCCAGGATAATTAATACGAAATCGTTATATATCCGGGTTAGTCAAACGTTTTTTAAAAGTCATTTTGTACAATGTTAAGCTTTAACTCATTAATTAAAAATGGTTTTAAAGTTATCATGAGGTAAATTAAAAAAAGCAATAAGTTTAAACCTTTAATATTTGTAGTATAAATAATATGTTTTCCCTTTTTAAAAATGATATAAAATGTAAAATAGTTAAAGTAATAACTATTCTAGTTATTTGAGAATAATTGTCGTAAAAGAAGAAAAGTAAATCTGAAAATGTTTTATTTAAACTTTTTAATACAGCATTAATTAATTAAATAATTAATTAATGTAGTTATGATGAAAGAGAGAGGGTAATTGAAAAAGGAGAGAAAGTTTGAGTGAAGAAATCACAAAATTGAGACGTTAAGAACTTTACAACTATGTTGATGGGAATTGGGAATTGGGAATTGGGAATTGGCGCAGGCATGGATATATGAAGTATGAACGAATAGGGTAGTTAGCAATGGAAACAGGGATAAGTAATAAGTTACCGCCACAGCTCCGGAAAATAAAAGTATCCGCAACCGCGAGCTTCAAAAATTCCACAAGAAAGATTCATCCACTATCAACCCCTCTGTATTTGAATTTGCATTCCCATTCGCATTCTCTTCTCCGTAATTCACATTCGCCGCTTCCGGCACGTAAAACTCCCCACTGAACTCGTCAAAAGCGGGGAAAATCCCGTAATCGGATTCGTAATTGGCGGAGGCAACGGGCGTGAACAAATCCGTTAGCGGAGCGCTATGTGTGGTGACGTCACTGTCCGTTTGAAGTGAGATGGAAGAGGAGGGAGGCGCCAGGCCCTCGTGGGAGGCGGCGTTGGCGAACTGGGCGGCGGCGGCCTGAATTTGGGAGGGCGTCATGGAGCTTCCGCCGGCGATGTCGGGCGGGGTGTCGGGGAAATTAAAGTTGGCGTTGCGGCCACGTAAGCAGAACATGGCCGCGTCGAAAGCACGTGCGGCCTTCTCGGCGGAGTCGTAGGATCCCAACCAGATTCTCTTGCGGCTGTTGGGTAGCCTTATTTCGGATACCCACTTTCCCCATTTTCTCTTTCGGACCCCTTTGTACTTTGAAATGTCCCTATGCTCCTCTGCCTTTTCGTTCATCATGGGTTTGTGAGAAGTGAGAAGTGAGAAGTGAGAAGTGAGAAGCGAGAATTGAGAAAGGAGGGAGAGTTTGCGGCTCTATATATAGTCTTGCGAGACTCACGTTGACCGTACAGTGAAGCGAGTGAACAAGTTTGACTCGCGGTCAGCACTCGGCAAGGCGCGTACACTCCAGAGACCCATTGCCATTTCTCTCTCTACTCTCTACCACGTCGCCACTCGCCTTTCGTCGTTACTACGCGTTTAGACACCACGTGTCTGGTGTAACCCACGTGAACTTAATACCAATTACTAATTTACTGCTTTCTCTATTCTCTATCTCTATCCCCAATTTCTCATTTCTTTTTTCTAACTATATTTATTAATTACTAATTCCTCCCTCCTGCTTTTCTATTTCATAAAGTCCTACACCGTGAAATGCAAATGCAAATGCAAATGCAAATGCTGTTCACTCACTCTCTTTCAATTTTCCTACCACTTTTCAAAATCTAAAACAAAAAAGCATCAATATTGATTAATTGGGAAAATCAAATTGTGAAGTATCTTTGACTCAAACGTTTTCCATATGGTAACTTCATGGACTGCTTGTTTCTAAGTCAAAGCCCATCAATTTAAACAAAAAATATATATCCAAATATTGAAAAAAGGAGAAATCAAATTTTTTATTAGATTAAATTAGATTTTGGATATGATTTTGAAAATCAATCTAATATGACCTCTGAAATTATAAAATGTAAATTTTTATTTATAAACTTATGATATGATTGATATCACACCGTTTATATTTCATATATTTATTTATAATAAAAAATTTAATTAAATATATTTTTTAATATGTATTTATAGAGGTATGTTATACCATTATCTATATAATAACTTATAAATAAAAATATTTTATATTTTAATTTGTTTAATTATGCTTATTATACATTTTACTATTTGTTTAATGTTTTCTTCAAAGAAAGCAAAAAAAAAAAATTAAAACAGAAAATCAATTTATTCCAAACATTTTTGTATCAAATTAAATTAAATCAAATCTATTAAATAATAAATTAAGAAAAATCAATAATTAAATCAAATATTTTTTCTCTGCAAAATCAATTCAATTCACCTTCGCAAATATCCTAATACTAATGTATTTGAAGGCAAAATTAAGGGGAGGGGTTAAAAACCAATTAAACCGGCGTGATTTCTTCAATTAACTAATGCAAAAATTCTATCTTCTTCGTCAGCTAAATTCCATTATGGTATAGAGTTTTTTTCCTTCAAATTCTAATAAATAAAATCTCGGTTCAAATTTTACGAATAAAGAAAGAAATTAATTTAGAACAGAGACTTCACTAAAATAATCAATTAATTTTTTTAGAAACAATTAATTATCAACAAAATGAACTGTACCGTGAATGGTTATTCCACCAACTACTCTAGCAACAAAATATAGCTTTATTTCATCTTTACTTTTTCTTCTCGATCAAACTCTGAGACATGTAGTTTCCTTCCTATTTCAATATATGTTCTTAAAAAGTTTAGGAAATATAATTTTAAAAAAATATTTGTTATCAGAGTGTGTGTATGAAAATTACATTTCATTAAAAAAAATTGTGATTTAATTATGTAAATTTTGAAAAGAAAATAAATACTTTTAAAAAAAAAATTGAATAAAAATTTCTTTATATGATTCTTTAATTTATACTACTATGTGATACAAGGATTATCATATATACTATTAAAAGCATCAAATTGTTACTTGAAACCCTAAATATATACAAAATTTGAAATTTAAATTTTATTGAAATTATTATAATTTTTATTAATAAAAAAGACATCAAAATGTTATAATACATTGTTTGAAAAAAAAAATTGTTTTTGATTATAAGAGTTTGATAGAAGAAAATTATCAATATATAAACAATTTTATGATGTCAACAGTTAAAAGTTAGCTTTGATGTGATTTTTTATGATTAATGATTATTATCAAAGTAAATAATTTACTATACGTAACTTATGATCGAATAAAAATGTAAAAGAAAATTCATAATTTTGGTTCATATAATTTTTTCTCCTTTTTCAATCTCACAAATGAGAAAAAACATGGAATCACAATGTAACATATATATTATTTATCCTTATATCATTATTTTTAATAATTTCATCCACTTTTATGTAAAAATATTAATCCTTTTATAATAAATTCAACAATTTAAATTAACCTCTCTTTTAATAACTTACGTGTCACCACCATTAAATAAGTTAAGATATATTTTTTTTATAAACAAAATATACACGGAAGCACATTTTTTTTTTTTACAATAGTGTGCAAACAGACACCTATAAATAACCATTTATGATTATTGATGGCCATTATTAGCCCCTTAAGAATAAACTAAAGAGAAGTGTTACACTGTCCGAATTATTAATGCTGAATTATCCTCCGACGTTTAAATTAACGATAATATCAAATAAAAATAATTTTTTTTTATGTTAAATCAATCTACAGAAATATAACTTTCAATGTTCGGAGGATTTTTGGGACCATCACTTTCGGAGGATTAAGTATTTTCCTAAACTAAAGTATCAAAAGATAAAACATTTAATTAAATCAATATAAAATTATAGCATAAAATATTAAAAATTTATCAAATAGTATTGTTAATATTTTTGAAATGATTTTTTCAATGTTTGACCATGTCTCCTCTATCTATTCTACATATTAAACAAAGTAACACAATTAAATTATTATGGAAAAAACTTGCAAGTTTCGAATAGCCAAGACAGGGTCGGAAACAAGACAACAAGCAGACGCAGATGCCTCACGTGGATCACTTTACGTCATTCTCATCGTCATAAATCATAATCCTTTTTTTTTGTTTTCTTTTTTGAAATTTCAATTGTCATAGTCTGATACTTGAGTCTATCCCTTCTAGTAATAAGAATTTCAGGACCACGACCCTACAATCACCTGGAACAATACGATGCATACCATCGTTTTCAGTTTGCACATGTTAACCTTTTTTTTCTTCTCCTTCTTTAATATGCATGTGTTTGACATTACTAAATTTTCATTTTATTTAAATAGAATTGATGACTGGTCGGCTTGCATGCACCGATGCTTGGGAATTGGGACTTGTTTTTGTTTATGAATCATTTATTTTGTAGTCAAAGGTCAAATTCATCTATTTTGTTATTTTTATTTAAATTTTATGTAGGAAAATAAAAAAAAAATACTAATATAAATAGGTTTTATATTTGAAAAATTATTAATCCAATTGTTTTGAGACCATTTTTTTTTAAAATTTTCTCTAACCTATTAAACTATCGGACCAGTCTTTTGGATTCAACCATTTTTAATGTCTTTAATTTTAATTACCAACCACTAAATATTTAGTGGTGTGCATGCTTTTATTTTTGTAAAAAAATGTAACTGATATAACACTGAACATGGTTCACTTCAAAATAAATTTCCTACTAAAAATGCTTTTATCATTATTACTTTTATTTCAATAATAATTTTTTAATTCTTAGTGAAAAAAAAGTTAATATGTATATTTAATCTTGTTAATAAAGTGCTAAGGCTCGCTTCTGTGAAAAAAAATCGTATTTTATAGCACTAGATATAAGCATATGTTAAAAATATTCTTTGAAATTGTTGCGGGTTGCATCAATTGTCCCGTGGAAGAGGCTAGGTGGGCCAAGTCACTGTCGAATCATGGCGCTTGGGCTGCTGCGCTCTTAAGTAAAAAGAGTTGCGCCCTAACTATAAGTTATAGCTTTTGGCCTAGTGGTAAGCGCTCGATCCAACAGAAATGATAAGAATAAGTAATAATAAACCTATGATTAAATAAAATAAAACTTAAATATGTTTTTAATTTATATAAAATGAGTGTATTTTGATTTTAATTTTTATAAAAAAATTGTTTTTTTATTTTTCTAAAATCTGTATACATTGTTTTTTTGTAACAACTTGATAGTTCCCTAAATTTTTACAGTTCGACAACTAAGGAACAAAAATATAAATTTAATTATCTAGATATACATACAAATATATATATATATAGGAAATAATCAACTAAAAACATAAAATGTTCATCAATAGAACTACAATCCAAACTTGTTATATATGTCTACAACTAAAAACATAAATTTTAAGTTGTCAATCAAGCAACATCTATACACATGATGTTAGAACAGCCACCAAACATAACAACACCACCTCCAACATGATAGTCAAGGGGTCCAACTCGTCCTCTATAGCCTAATCCTACCTTACTCTCGTATAATATGATCATTACATCCCAACAATAAGGGTAAACTTGCTAAAAAAACAATATAGTATAAAAATAATAAACTAACCATACAAACCACTCAAATCAACATCACTTACCAACAACACATCTTAACATGGTAACATAGGAACACAATTCTTTCAACTGAACAACATGTCAACACACAGTATAATAACAACGCAGCGACTTACCACACAACACAACTAAGCAACACAACAATTCAATGTGTTGTCACATATTTTAACTAAGAGATCTTTTATAATAGCCGAGCAGTTTAAGTGGTTTAACTTTATCGAATAAACTTAACAATGTGATCTTTTTAGACTTGTTAAATCAACAAAAAATTTAAAATCAATCCACAACACAACATAATTTCTCAGATTTTGCTACCTAAACTATGAAAGTCCAATATCCTTATCAGGAGTTGAATAACTAGGGTGTGAGTCTACTATGACCTTGGCATACATAATTAAACTTATATAGAATTAGTCCACCGACTACCTTCCAAATACAATTCGTCTTTCTCATACTTAGTTAGAAATTTTGGCCATTGACTTTGTACTTTACTCGATTGGTCGCTTCTAGAACATAATGACTCGACTTGACCTTTATACAATATCAACTAAAAACTTAGAAGATATTCAACACTCTACTTCAAGAGAGAACTATACTAAAGAAAGGTTTTTCAACAACAACGGGACTCTTAGAGCACCATAGTAGATATTCTCACAGTGGGATATTCGTCTTTAAAATAACACCTCTCCTTGAGTCCTAAGC